AAGAAAAGAATAGTTTTCTGAGGTGTTCTATTGAGAAGGAAAACAACAGTAGAAAAAGCTTCATCCCAATACATATGAGGCAAATGAGACTGATTAAGCAAGGACAAACCAGTTTCTACAATGGATCTATGTTTTCTTTCTGCAGAGCCATTTTGTTCTGGGGTGTATGGGCAAGAAATCTTATATAGGATCCCTGAATCTGAGAACAATTGTTTAAGGGCCATAAATTCACCTCCACCATCACTTTGAAAGGATTTTATAGTGGTTTTTATATTGGTTTTCAACAAAAGCCTTAAAGTGAATAAAAGCTGTTTTGGTGTCTGATTTCTGTTTCAACAGATATAGCCAAGTAAACCGAGTAGCATCATCAATAAAACTAACATAATACTTATAACCTCTGTGAGAAATAACTGGGGATGGTCCCCAAAGATCAGAATGAACCAAATCAAAGGGAGCATAAGTATGAGAATCAGACATAGAAAACGGAAGTTTGTGAAATTTTGATTCCATGCATGTGGAACACAGAGAATTCTGAACATTGTCTTGAAAAGGAACATTACAATGCTTAAGAGCTTTCCTAACAATATCAAAAGCAGGATGGCCTAGCCTAGAATGCCAAACATCTAGAGGTTCTCCTCTTGTTGCAACATTACAACTTAATTGAAAACTGTTAAAGAAAGGGCTGAAATGGGAGGTGCTTGGTTTCTTGTTGATCTTTTTTAGATGGAACTTGTAGAGACCATTTTCAATGTTCCCTTGCAGAAGGATGTCCCTTGAATTTAGATCCTTCACAAGACAATAAGAGGGGTGAAACTCAAAGAAGACTCTATTATCCTTGGTAAATTGTGCTACACTAATAAGTTTCTTGTTTAAGTGTGGTACATGGAGAAGGTTATTGAGATGAAGTGTGTGAGAAGAAGAATTAGAAGGACACTTTATTGAAGCTTTACCACAATGAGCAATAGTCATACCTGCTCCATTTGCCACTTGGATCATCTCACTGCCATTATAATTAGAAGCCATGCTTAAGTTGCCAAGGTCATAAGTAAGATGGTTTGTGGCACCTGAATCTGGGTACCAGCTTATGTCATTGCTATTTTCAGAGGCTGTGTCAGTGTTCCTTGTAGTGAAGTTGGCTGAGAAACCAGTTTCAGATCCTTGACCAAGGTTTTGAAAGTTGTTTCCTTCATGTTGATTCTTGCCTGAGTAGCTAATGTCAAACCTATAATAGCACTTTTCAGCTGTGTGGTTATTGTAACCACAAATTTAACATTTTGGCATGTTGCTGCCTGATCTTCCTCCACGACCTCTGAATGATCCATCTCTACCTTGGCCTCTTCCTCTATTACCATTAAATCTTCCTTTGTCATATGAGGTGCCTCTACCTCTATTGCTCATTTGAGTGGCCATGTTAGCTGCAAAGTGAGGGCCTTCTTCAGTCTTAGTGATGTGTTCCATGGATTCTATGCGAGCCTCAAAGCTTTGAATGACTGGGTAAGCTTCTATCAGGGAACATTTCTCAGCTCTTGATGTGAGTGACACAACTACTAAGTTATATTCTGCTCCTAAACCAGCTAGCAAGTAAAGCACTTGATCTGTTTCTGGGATATTGTGCCCAGCCATGGATAACATGTCACAAATATTTTTGACCTTGCTAAAAAATTCCCTGACTTTCATATTTCCCTTCTTAATACTTTGCAGCTCCATTCTAAGTTGCATCTGTTTGGCTTGGCTTTGACTAGCATAACTGATTTTTAAACAATTCCAGATCTCTTTGGAAGTGGATAAGCCAACAGTAGTGATTAAGGTATTTTCAGCTAAGGAAGATAGAAGCCAGGAAGCAATGAGTTGATCTTGTCTTACCCAAGTCAAGTAGCTGGGATTTATAGCTAGATCAGAAGCTCCATCTTGTTGAGTGACAAATCTGTTGGGAGGTGGAGTCTCTCCTGTGATGAAGCCTTAAAGTCCATAGCCTCTAATGGCTGTGAGGGCTTGTTGTTCCCAAATGAGATAGTTAGAATCATTGAGCTTGACAGAAATTAATTGGCTTTGCAGCTGGATAACATTTTCCCAAGGACCAATGAGTGGTTGAGCTGTAGCCATAATATTTAAAAGTGTAAAAGAAAAGAAAAAGAAACGGATTTGGAAAGGTCACATCAGATGAAAACAGATCCATATGGCTCTGATGCCATAATGAGAAAAGCTGGAAAATAACATATCAAAAACTGTGACTTCAAAAGTAAGCTTTCTTCATGCCATTAATGGTGTTCTTTTCTACAGAATGATTGAGACGACTGAGGCCAATATTTACAAATATATATGCTACTCTAAAGCTCATCTAAGCCCTACACCTGTCCACAACTCTATCATCTACATTAAACCCTAGATGACAGCTATTGTACTCACTACAAGACAATGAGCTGCAACTGCCATTAGTGTGATCCTGTGGGGCTGCATGAGAGCCGTTCTTAGCTTGCATGGATGGGGCCTTTACTTGCTGACAATGCATGGTTGCATGCTGACGTGGAGTTTTCTTGGACTGGTCAAAGGTGCAAGGATATTGATCTTTTCCTTTAACAATTAGCAGATAGCCCATAAGTTAGTTGATAGCTTATCAATAATTTTTGAACTTATAGCTTATAACTTATAACTTATAGCTGAAAAGCTAGCTTATATGATAAAAATGTTTGGTAAAATTAGTTGATAAGCTAGCTGGGATAAAAAATTCAACTAGCTTATTTGAAAACCTACCTAAAGAAATTTATCAAATAAGCTCGAGCTTTTTAAAAAAAACGTCCTACCAAACAAGGCTTATTTGAATACAGGTAGCTTATAAGCTAATCAAATAAACTATAAGCTAGCTTATTTGTTTACCAAACATAGCCTTGATTTCTTTTCCTCAATCCACACTACACCAAAAAAGGCTTCAGATAGCGTTTTTTTTT